TGACTCCAGTCATCTCAAGAGCATGGAGATGCTAAGCACCCCCCTACACCTTCATAAACTCCCCCCCACACCCACCTCCCAACCATACAAAGTACATGCATAATTTTGCATAACTGTGAGTTTTTCTGTGTGTAATTTAGAATTTTTAGCTGTTGATTAAAATTACAATTAATTGCGACTAATTTTTTAATTGCGCAACTAATTGTGAGCAAATTTTTTAGTTGTTTGACAGCCTTAAATTAATATAATGATAGGAAAGCCAGTCGTAAAGCTGTATAGCACAAGGCATAGCAGCAGCTTAACGCAATCCTAAGACTGTCTTCTTTGCAACTAAAGCCATGTCAGTTCTATGTAGGTACACAAGTCCAGGTACTTAGATTGTATAGCAGGCTCAGAGCTTACGCTGGTAATCAAAATCAGCTTCTGGTAAAACACACTTCTTGTGCCATTCAGTAGCGACTCCTGCAACAATTTAAGAGCAATGCCAGGAAGTTCTGCAAATATCCCTGTCCTGTTTTCCACAATTAGGAAAAGAGTAGCTATATGAGGGGCTTCAAAGAGTGAAATTGGGCACTGCAGCAAACTTCATGTGTGGAAAAATGTGTTAACCTGTGAAAAAAGTTGTTTTCTTAATATAAGTGCATTACTTTTGTTTTCAAAATACCTAAGTGGCCTTGTCTAATTACAGTACAGCAGTCCGGACATGTTCATTTTTAAAATGGAGACTCACAAATATGAAATCAAAATATTTTGCTTGTCTTTGGCTTGCTAAGTGAAAAACAACCTAATATAAACCAATATCACATTTGAGCTGGAAGTGAATTTTAAAATCCTCTCCAAACACAAGTTTAATGATGTGAAACCTGCCAGGTTGTAAGAGTTAAATAAAATAATGGAATAAAAATAAATTAAATGACCAAACTTCTAGCAAATACTCTAGTTTGGACATTTGTTAAGAACAGATACTATTGGACAGACTTGATTTATTATTTTGATAGAAGTGAAAAATAGAAGAGACAGAGAAAGTGGTCAGTACAAAAGAGCTGAATTATAGCAAAGCATTTGATAAAAGTGTCTTATGAAGTAACTCCAAATTGCTGAACATTGGCTTGGCCAGGAACAGTGTCACATGTACTCCAAGTGACTGAAAGAGCAAATAGAAAAGTAGTGATAAATGTAAATTGTCAACTTTGGAGGAAATGTCTAGCCAGATACTCCAGGGATCTGTTTTATGTCCAAGTCTATTTACTATCCTAATTCACTATAGAAAAAGGAATAAACAGCATGTTAATGAAATCCCTAACTAACTTCTTTGCATCTGACTGCAACCTAATGTTCTTTAGATTCTTTATATGAAGTAAGTTTTCAGTTGTATACCAGTGTTAAGGGTGGTTAAAAGATAGAGGTAACAGTAAAATCAAAAGGAAAGAAGGTAGTTAGAAAAAAACAGGCTAAAAATGAAATCATGCAGTATTCTATTGAAGCAGAAAAATACATAGACAAAGGAAGAACCACTCCAGAAATGGGGAAAGAATTATTAAGTGGGAAGGGGACATGGCAGGAAGAAAGGGCAGACATGTAGCTAAGAAATTTGAAAAGACCAAGTGGTCTCGTGTCAAAATCTGCCTGGAGATCAAAGAAATACAAAACAACAATGTCCACTGGAAGAAGGTAACATTGTTGAATTTACATACAAGAGAAACTTGCATGCTGTGGGAAGAGTTAAACACATTAACTGTTCTGGAGAAAATGTGGAATTGTTGCATGTAAGGTGATAAAAGAGATGACAAACAGCTTTCTTAAATACTGCAGTAGAAGAGGTTAGGTTAAAGATGGAAAGTAGTCAGGGAATACAAGGTGCATGTGTAACGATTACAACATTAATTTCCTATTGTACAAGTTAGAGGCAGTGCACACAGAATTTATGGAACTAGGAAAAAGTAAAGAAAGAAAGGAAGAAGATTTAAAATGGGTTTATTTTTCTTCAAGCACTTTGCTTTTACATCTGAGACAGGAATAAATATTTTAACCATCTACATCTGATGAACAGGATAAATGGAATGGTTATAAGTAGTTCTTTAGCCATTTTTTATCCAGTTTTCACTCTTAAGTAAAGATTCATGTTCTGATAATGTGCCCCATGTATATTTTTGCACATATAAAATAGATTATTTTATACTCATTTTAGTTTTCTTTCTTTTGCCATATCATAAATTGGGCCTTTCCATTGGTTCTTTCATCTGTACAACACCAAACCAGCTAAGTTGTTTGGGTTTTTTTTAATGGTTAAACATTTATCTGGTTATCAGTTTCATGCATTTAAAGTACACTATTGTTGGGTAAAATGATACTATCAATTTCAGGCTGGTCAAGGTTCAATATTGTGGATAGGCATGGAAAAAAAGGATGAAGAAAAATAAACTCTTCCACGTGACAATAGTCTCTCCACAAAGACAGTAGAAAAATAAAAGGCCACCCAGGGATCCCATTTCTAGCCACAGAAAGTTGGAATGGTCTGTCCTGTTGCTGTAATAGCTTAAAAACTGTTTTAACTGTGGTTACACATCCTGATATCAACAGGGCATTAGAGATGTTCACTTGCAGTTTTTGCCTTTCATATTATTTGTAATAGGCTAATGAACACAGATACACAATCTCTGTAGGCTTCACAAATGGTTTTGTCTGCTTTGTTAGATAACTGTATTTCTTGTTCACTAATTAAATAAAAAATCATTTCTCCAATTTTGTAATTTTTTTGCTTTAACACAGAAAGTGTAGCTTTAACACAGAAAGTGCTTGCTGAGAGAAATTTTAAAGTGTGGATGTATTACACATTTGAAATGCAAATACACATATTTTTGCACAGCAATAACGTTTCAGAATCATATATATTTTAACATGGTAAATTACTGGTATTTTAAAACAAAATACATATTATTCCCTGGGTGAACATTTAAACACCTATTTAAGCAAATTAAGTTGAAGTAAACTACATTTGAAAATCTAACCCTACAACATGAAAACAGCCTCTGAGCCAAGCATATAGTCTCCATTTTCTCTAACTCTGGGAAATGTTTTTGTGTTTGGATTGTAGAATTATTTTTAAAAATTAATCTGTATTGATGTTAATTACTGGAAAAGCTAATGCACTCAGTAGATTAACCATGTTGCTCAGTAATGGTATAATTGAGCCACATGAGGTTTTCAAAATGTATTTGCAATTCTATATTGCATGATGGACTGTGCCACAGAAATAGTCTTTTCCCAGTTCTTCTGTCCTTTGGAAGTCTTGAGAGGATCCCCAGAATGAGCGTTATTTTGTTGCTTGAAAGGTTAGGCCACAGTTATAGTAACCACATGTTCGTCTTATAATACTAATAAACTTGATACTTGATGCCACTACATAAAAAGTTATTATTTTACTACTGTGTAATTTACTTAATAAGCTAAATTTGATTATCAAACTTTGTTAATTTTACCCATAAATTTAGTAGTAACTCCAGCAAATTTTGCAACTTGCAACTA